TTTTTTTTTCTTGAAAGATATCTTCTAAATTTTCATACTCTTTTAGGCACCTTGTCATTCGTGGCGAAAACGCGTCCAGAATTTTACGGATCCGAGCTGCAGCCACCAGGGCTATGCGAGAGCACTTCTATCATGCTGGTTATACGGAGATATGCCCACCTACCTTGGTGCAGACACAAGTGAGCATTTCTTTTGTCATAATCCGGGTATTCTCTAGGGTCTCTCGTGCAAAAGGTGATGTTATCTTTAACCGAGTCTTGGATTTCTTAAAATTCTTTAAGAGAACATTAGCCTGTATTCCATTATGGTTCCCATGCGCCTGGAAATTATTTATCGGTCTGGGTAGTTTGATACTCCATTCCTAATTTCTTATTCTTGTTTTTTTTTTTTTTGAATTTAACATCGGGTATATTCTAAGCTTGGCTTAATTTTCATTTTGCCAACTATTCTATGATAGATGAGTTTTAAAAGGTCTCAGACTGATGCATCTTGCAGTCAGTGATAAAAACTTTTTAGGTAGAAGGAGGATCAACACTTTTTGGTCTGGACTACTTCGGAGAGCCGTCGTACCTGACGCAGTCTTCGCAGCTATACCTAGAGACATGTATCGCTTCTCTAGGAGACGTTTATTGTATAGCGCAATCTTATCGGTGAGTTTGAGACAATCTCTATCTGCCCCTTTCATATCTCTTTTCTGACATTCAGTCTGATGTAACTCATATCACATTATTCATTCAGCGCTGAGAAATCACGTACACGTCGTCATTTGGCAGAATATGCCCATGTGGAAGCAGAATGCGCTTTTATCACCTTTGACGAGCTCATGGATAGGATTGAAGACATCGTATGCGATACGGTGGATCGGCTGATGGCTGATCCACACGTGAAGCCGCTCATCGAGTTTGTAAACCCTGTAAGTTCTTTATCATTCCTGCGAATGTCGCGCTTTTTGTGAAGTAGAGAAACTTATTTAGAACTTTAAACCTCCACAAAGACCTTTTCTTCGCATGACGTACTCAGACGCGATCAAATGGCTAATTGAGCATGATGTTCGTAATGAGTATGGCGAGAAGTTTGTACATGGTGAAGATATTGCAGAAGCAGCAGAGAGGAAAATGACAGATACGATTGGAGTGGTTGGTTCTTGAATGTTTTGATGCTGTAGCGTGATATTGTAGAATAGGTTGTACAACATCTTTTAGTTTGCTAATTTTATACATTTTAGCCTATTTTGTTGCACAAATTCCCGGCTGGCATCAAAGCATTCTATATGTCTCGGTGTAAGGACGATGATACGCTTACTGAGTCAGTTGATCTTCTCATGCCTGGTGGGTTTTTTAATCACAATAGTTTATGCTCGACTATGCGCTTTCCCACCTCTTTCAACCTAATCAACCAATTCAATCAATTCAGCTAAATCCAATAATCTTAAGGCCACTACTGCTTTTTTTCAAAAATACTGGAGTTCGTAGGCGGTAACCTTTGCTACGTTACCAGACACTTTATGGGACAACTCGTCTGCACCATAGTAAATACTTGTGACGTAAGAGAAGGTCTAATGTTGTCCTTTATAGGTGTTGGTGAGATAGTAGGTGGATCTATGCGTATGTGGCATGAAGAAGACCTGCACAAAGCTTTTACAGCAGCTGGTATCGATCCTAAGAACTATTACTGGTGAGCCTGTTTGAGAAATCTTAGATTTTTATCTTGAGAACCAAAGAGGACAGGAAGGGAATAACGGCGTTGTTTATCTGCAGGTACACTGATCAAAGAAAGTATGGAACGGTGCCCCATGGTGGCTATGGTTTAGGACTGGAACGCTTTATCTGTTGGTTAACAAACACTTACCACATAAGAGATGTTTGCTTATATCCACGATTTATTGGAAGATGTGCACCATAATTTTTTCCATGAAATGTAGCTGAGCTTCATTTGGTTTGTGGATTTG